TGCCAATAATAGAAGATTACGTCTTCTCTACAGCTCTGCAGCTTGTATTATTTTCTCCAGCAACAAATTAGAGAAGTCAAACGATTTGTATGTAACCTCGTTTGGTATCGAGCAGATCGGAGAGCTCCTTTCCGATCTTAACAGAGTTTTTGGTGTTGCTTAACGTCAGTTTACATAGCCGTATAAGTATTACAAGTGCAGTTTACCTCTGAGTGTTCGGGGCTCAAGAATTTACATTTACCTGTGGTAAAGCATGCCTGTCATAAGAGGCGACAAAAATCCATTGTTTCTCGCGAAAGTCGGGTCTTTACAAAAGGTTTTCCGTTACGAGGTGTTATTTTAAACAGGCTACTATGCCGGTAGATTTGACTGATTTGAAATTATTAAAATTCACTATAAAAATGGTGAAATCCTGCCAGAGACGGTTCGTAAAACTAAAACATTTTTCGGTCGTCGGGAAGCACCTTGTCGGTAGAAAAAATTTAGTTGTTGCAACAAGATGGTAATGTGAAGAATAACAGAAGAGCACGCCGCTCAAAACTGCTGTAGCTCAAAGTGCTGAAGAAATCCCAGGTTTGTCCATTCTTCCGTTCGTTCTCTGAGATTGGGCATTCTACAAACGTCTATTATACCGTATTTTTCATAAACTCTTGCGTCTTAAGGCTTATAAAGTACAGTTAAAACAAGAACTCAAGGTCGTGTCTTTGCAGAGTTGGTTCTGAAAGTTATACAGAGTTTCATTGAAAAATCATCTTGACTGATAAGGCTCATTTCCACCTCAATGGCTACGTCAATAAGCTCTCGCGTCTGTTGCTCAGAAAACCCAATATTTATTCTTGAAAATCCTCTCCATTTTTAAGGTGCAACTGTTTGATGCGGTCACTGAACCTTACTTTTTTTCGAAAATGAGGCTGGAACAATAGTTACTGTGATTGGATTGCGCTATGGAGAGATGATTAATGATTTTTTACGGCCGGAATTGGATGGCACCGTGCTATCTTTCAAATAGGTGATCGGAATTGGCAACCGACATCTTGTGATTTAACACCTTGCGACTTCTTTCTACTACTTCAACAGACTGACGCTGACTCAAGATCCCCAAATTTGAAATTTTGTGAAGCTATTGAGGGCATACAGCAGCCATTTTTCCAACCCTCTCAGCTCTATTTTGCGAATTTTCATTTCTTCAATACTTATGTACAAGATCATAAGTTGAATTATACTCGTATATCTGCTCTGCTCTGCTCAAAAATGAGACAGTCGGCAATGCAATGCAAGCAAATTTGTTACTCCAAAGTCTTGATAAGAAAACTTTAATAAAGCAAACTTTAAGAGGAATCACCGACAAAACCAGCAAAAGGATAGCTATGCCAACGCATTGAAAAATCGGCAAAGAAATTAAATTCCAAGTAAAGCTTTCAAAGCATACAAGGACACTGAGGATAGCGATAACAAACACATACGTACATATACATATATATATGCGACCATACACAACTACGCTGTCATTGACATTGCGCAAAGGACAACACAGGCATACAAACGCACGTGCGGAAAAGCGAAAAGCAAAAAAAAAAATTAAAATAAAATCTCAAAAAGAGAAAAATTGCTTTGTAAAAACGTGTCGCTAGAAAAAAAAGTACAAATAAAAAAAAATAGTAAAAAAGGTAAAAGCGAAAATGTGCAAACAAGCCAAACAAACAGTGAAAAAAAAAAGCATTTCGAAAGCGCAAAAGATCTTTGCGAGACACGAGAGGAAGCGCCATGCAGCGCCGCACGACAAGACAGGAACATATGTAGATATATTGTAGTACTTCAAGTGTATGTATGTACATACACATGCATGAGCAACACACGCGAAAAATTGCTCAAAGCAAAGTGCAAAAAAAAACTTGCTGTGTTTTACATTAGTTGCATTTAAAAATGTAAAGCCACACACGAGTGTGTGCGTATATATATATATATATGTGTGTGTGTGCAAGCGGCTCTCCACACTACTCTATTATTCCCTTTAAACGCGTTGCGTTGCCGTTGTCCTTGCCACCAAAAGCAGCAGCAACAAGCAAAACATCAAAGCCTTGTCACTTTGGTCGCTTTGTCGCGCCGCAAAATTTCACTGACTACCATTCTTTTTTTCTATCTCCCTAAACATACACACATACTTTCCTCCAGCAGCACTCTTCAACACTATTTTTTTTTTGTTAAATCCTATTTTATTTCAATTTTTTCCCCTTTTCTTTTTTTGGAATTTTTTATTTTCATTTTTTTTTTCCTTTGCTTTTACTTTACTTTACTACTCCACTGACTGACTGCATGTCAGACATACTTAGGCAGGCACGGGCGCAGCTTAGTTGTTGCTGTGGTAGTGTGTAGTCTACTTTTAGGCGCTTAATACCGGCTTTTACGCGCATACATGCAACGCTGGAACGGTATTTGATTTACTACCAACTACTACGCTCAGTGTTGCTGCATTTCCCTCACTTCTCTTTGTTGCACATTTTCGTTACGTCACTTTTACGTTGTTGACACTGTTGACGCTAATCGGTTTGGATGCTAAAGAGATTGGTTGAGGAGGAAATTTATGTAGATACAGACTTGTATATATGTATGTACTCGTGTTATGTAGGTATGTAAGCCAATAGCCTTTGTAGTGTCTGTCAGCTGTGTATGATGTTGGAATTTTGTAGGAAATTGTGTTGAGTGCTCACAAGAGCAAAAGAAAAATACATTTGAATATTTTAAAAAATTTTCTCGTTTCTTTACCAGGAAATGTGAAGAATTTTCCATTTTCGGGTTTCAAAGGTCGCACCTGTGATACTTGGATTTTAAGGTTAGTTAGATAGAGAGCTATACTGTCAGGCTCTCACGCCGTACATAAACCTGCTGCTCTTTTGTAACGACATATGGAGCTTAGTTCGAGCTGGAGTAGTTGAGCTTTTTACGATATATAAAGGAGCCTGGACATCTAATTTGTATACTATCAGGTGTACAACTTTGATTCCGCCGTTTTCCGATAGGTGGCTGTACCGGCTGAGGCTGGTTGAAATACATAGATGATAATGCCTTTAAAGTGAGTGTGGACAGTGCCTAACGAATTGTCATCGCCGTTTCAGTGACAGTTGTTCCTGTTTTCGTATTATTCACGCTCGAAAATGTCCGTTTATGTGCATAATTCTCGCCATTTGCGGGAAGTTTTACTTTTCTGTTACAATTCGAAAAAAATGCAGCTGAAGCGCATCGAATGCTCTCAGTAACTTACGGTGATGCTGCTCTGAGTGAAAGAACGTGTCGGAAGTGGTTTCAACGTTTTAAAAATGGTGATTTCGATGTCGACGAGAAACATGGTGGTTATGATTTGTATATCGTGGGATCAGCTCGGTGTGATTTACTACGAGCTTTTAAAACCGGGTGAAGCCATCACAGGAGATCGCTACCGAACGCAACTGATGCGCCTTAGTCGCGCGCTCACAATATCAAGAGCGACATGACAAAGTCATCCTCCAGAAACGCTTAAATGGGAAGTCTTGCCCACCCGCCGTATTTCCCAGATCTCGCCCCTTCTAACTTCCACCTATTCCGTTCGATGGCACACGGCCTGGCAGATCAACATTTTCAATCCTTCGAAGAATTGGAAAAATGGATTGCTTCATGGATAGCGTCAAAAGAGGACTCCTTTTTTCGAGCCGGGATCCGAATATTGCCGGAAAGATGGGAGAAAGTTGTCGCTAGCGAAGGACAATACTTTGAATAATATATCTGCAAGCACTTTTTCGCAATAAAGCTTTTAATTTTGGAAAAAAAAAACGGCGGAAGCAAAGTTGTACACCTGATACATCTAGCCCTTTGAGCTGCAAAGCTCCTAAAGAAATATAAGTCCAGTTCTTCCCAAAGCCATACAGAAGTAGAGCAGTTGTTCCAGCGCCTGACTAATGCTTTCGTCCGTCCACTTTCTGTTTATTTCATTTTTACTAATGCCGTGTGATGGCAACTTTTCCTTTCAAAACAGCTACAATAGAAGCAAAATTTTCGCAGTATGAATAAGAAGATTACTCAATCATTAGGCAAACTCAAACCCCCTGGCATCTTAGGAAACAAATGCAAATCTGCTGCAGTAGCTAGACCTTGGTTATGACAGCATTTTTCGTATGTCGAGATCCTCACTTGCAATTAGTAGTATACGAGCTCCAAAACGCCATTCAGGAGGACTGAGTTGAGAAAGCAAACTCTACGGATGGCTTCTAAGATTAAGGGTAGTCAGTCCAGCGATTCTGTTAAGTCTTGCTGAATGTAGACGTCATAGTCTTGCACTTCTTTTCTGATTCGCAGAAGAGACGACACTACTCCAAGCGCTCGATTCATTAATTCAGCGGATTCTATTTGTACAGTTATTTACAGTAGACATTCGAATTAATCGTTTGGTTTCTTGGAAACAGTTCAAAATATACCACACACATACCACCAAAATGACAGCTTAATCTTCTTTTGGTGAATATCAACCTCTGAAGTGGTTTGTGGCGCTTCATCATGCTTGAACCATGATTTTGATCTACTTCACTTCACTCCAATCTCACGCTCAGTTACATGACGATCCGATTCGATTATAGCCTTAATATCGTCATCACCAACTTCACTTGGCCGACCTGGACCTTGCTTGTCTTCGAGTGAAAAAATCTCCCGAACGGAATTTGACAAACCAACTTCCACTCTAAGTTTCTTTTCAGGCCTTATCACCATACAAATTATGCAACTTCTTAACAACCTGCGATGCATTCCTTCCTTTAAGGAAATATAAAAGTAAAATATGGCAAGAATGTTCTTTCCTGGGCTCCATTGACGCCCAACAAATAAATATAAACCAAATTACGCACACCCTATTTTTCAAAAGAAATAATAATATTAAATAGTCGCAAAGTGAGTCTTTTCGGGCATCCCAATGAATTGAGCGGGAAAAGACCAAAAAAAAAAAAATAAATTAATCATATACCAATTATCACACTTACCATTTTTAATTTGCAGGCTATCACCAATAAAACAGGCAATTAAAAGCGATAAGAGAAGCAACCAATTTGCGCTAACTCCGCTGCTGCTGCTACAGCTGCTGCTGTGCTGGCGAATACTACGGCTATAACCATAACCGCTAGGCGAGGCAAATTTTCGCCCACTCGCCGGGTGTAGAAGCCGCCGCCACCTGTTGACACTTTCGCTCACATTCACATTATTCGCTTTGACTTTTTTCGTTGTGTGTGTGGGAATTAGTTGTTTATATGCACATAATCGAATATTATTTGCATTCACTGTAATATTAGTTGTTGAACATTTTGTTTTTGTATTTGCTAATTTTTCATTCTTCGCATTCTGTCGCGACATTCGCGTATTATTTGTGACATTTTGGTTATACGCTGTTTGTATTGTTGTTATTGTTGTTGTTGTTGTCCAGCCGACTGGTAAAAATGGCTCTTTAGCCATTGCTTTTAGACATTTAACATATGCTTCGGCCACAAATATCACACACACACACCTACACACGTTATTACTTATTTGAAAAATTTGCTGAAGAAAAATTTGGGATTTTTTTTTGTTTTTCCACAAATTCAGTTTAAATCCACCTGAAAAAAAGAATGAAACAAAATCAATGAAATGTTAGAGCAAAAATATTATTAAAAAAAATTATAAAAAAAAAATATATAAAAAAAAATTATAAAAAAAAAATAAAAAAAAAAAATATTATAAAAAAAATTAAAAAAAAAAATTAATAAAAAAAAATTATTAAAAAAAATTATTAAAAAAAAATTATAAAAAAAAAATTATAAAAAAAAAAAAAATTATAAAAAAAAATTTTAACAATAAAACTTTGAAACATCAGACAAACAAGGAGAAGGAGTTTAAAAAAATTGTGTAATTCCTTACGTATCATATTTGCCAAGAAACTACAACAAAACTCTGAAGACCATAATAGCCGAGTGGTTAGCAACGCGCACTGTCATACGGAAGACCAGGGATCGAGTCCTGGTTCGACCAACGTTTGAAAGTTATAGGAAATTAATTTAAATAAAAAATTAAGTTAAATTTTCTAATTGCGGTCAGGTCGCTCCTCTACAGGCAGTGTCAACCACTCGAAGTGCATTTCTAACATGAAAATCAAAGCTCCTCCTGCAAAACCAACAGTCGTTCGGAGGCCGCTTACTATAAACTGCATGTCTCTTCATTTGTTAGAAAAAAACATCAGAACGCAAAACCACAAATTGGAGGAAGACCTCAACCGAAAACCGCTTCAGCGTTTACAAAGCGCCAATTTTAATAACCAAAGACACGACATTGTTAATGATCGGCCGGATTGAGTTTTTGTGTTAACTGTACTTTATAAGACCTATGCTCCAACCATCCATCTTACATACCTCATAGCCGTACCACCCGACTGGAAGATAATATATAAACACGAGTATTTAGCGGCATCGGCAAGCGGTGACAACTTTTTATTCTCATGGCGCACTCATAAGATAGGTTTTGTTTGTAGCGGTTTACTAACCACAGTTGGTAACAAACAAGCTAGTCTAAAGCATTGAGATCATCTAGCGGGAGGTCTAATAAACTAGCTGTTTCCATTGGCTCGGACCAAAGAAAGAGAAAAATTAGATCGGTCGGTTTAGGGCTCGTGCAAAGAGGTGGTTAGTTTCGTCGATATGTCTGGGGCAACTCGAGCTCCACGTCTGCAATTGTGGCTGGTTGGGTTTCAATAATGTCATTTATTGATCGGGTTTAGATCAGAGCTGGAGCAGTGTGTGATGGATGGATTTCATTAATGGCCATTCAAAGTGGTGATTTGTGTAGAGAGTGACCACCTCTCTAGGAGAAAACATATGTTAAGTTTATTGGGGTCGAGTGTGGATAAGTGATAATTGAGTTTGATACTGTTTCCAGTTCTTAATTGTGTCATGATTAGTCGTAACTCGCGAGAGAGAGTTCAACATTTTCGTCTGCTTTGAGTGGTGGTTGAATTCAAGGTTTGAATGCGAGGGGTCACACATGTGCTTTTGGACAGTCCTAATTCCAAAATGAAACAAATTTATTTTTATCTACAATAATTACGGTCGCCCCAACATTAATTAAAAGCTTAAAAGGCCAATTGTCAAAAATGTCAATAAAATGATGGGAAACGTCGTGTCTTACCGTCATGTGAGCACTCTTCGATCGCCAGGAGCTAAACATTGCACAAAAAATGTTTGGAACCACTTGAAAAGGGCTAAGAAGCTCGATGTATGGCTACCACATGAGTTAACGAGAAAAAACCTCATAGACCGAATGGTGGTGATCGTGGTCGAAGAGCAGTGAACCGCCACAAACAGTTTCGTAGTAAGGATTGACGACCAGGATGGTTTGGTTGTGGGATTAACAAGTGATTGTCAATTATGAGCAACGTGCCGACTCTTAGTTCTCACCTTCTATGGCAGCAATTGGACCGTCCAAAGGAAACAATCGCCCAAAAGCGCACAGCTTTGACCAAAAAGAGATAAATTGCGTTTTATTAGAACAACGCCGGACTACACCAGTGATAACGACTCGCCAGAAACTCCTAGAGCTGTATTATGAAGTTTCTATGCATCCACGTTAGAGTCCGGACCTCTCCCCAAGTGATTGCCATCAGTTCTTATCTATAGTGAATGACTTTTCTGGTGAAGAATTAACCTCAGGAGAAGCCTATTGAAATTAGATGTCCCAATTTTTGCCAATGAAGAAAAGGGTTGGTATGAGAGAGGTCTAATCAAATTACCTTGAGATTGGCAAAAAGTTCTCAAGCAAAACGTTGCATATTTGACATAAATCGGATAATTCTAATCTTCAATTTAAATGCAAAATTAATGGATTACTTTTTACTAGACATTTACCGCACTTTTTCGCTGATTCAAACCCCGTTTAAGTCAATAGGTAACTTTACTCAGACGTTTCTGTTGACTATGCTGCATTGAGTCGCAGCAAACGTGTATTCCTCCTATATGACATAAGAAGGATGATCGGTGATAGTTTCGAGAAACAGCTCCCTTGTGGTTGAAAGTTTTCCAATCGACCATTTATACCTTAAGCGGGTACCTTGTAGTTTACAGTGTGTGCTCACCAAATGGTACATTATAAATTGTCAGTTAAATTTGTTATGCCCATTCATAGGTCGAATTGGAATCATTAATCTACCGCTTTTCGATTACCCAAAGCAGGAATCGTTTGCTAGTCGATAAGCGATTCTCTGAGTTTAGCTTGGTGTCGCTATTTTCTTGGCTTTATTTAAGACTAACGAAGCAAGTTTAATGTGTAACCCACGTTAATGGAACCTCATACATAATATTTATGAGGCCTTTCCCTGGTCTTGTTTTATAGCGAGCTGATATATTAATTGTTTAGAAAAAATTATAAAAATAAACTCGCTTAAGAGTAAAAAAATATCCTTGTTTACATATGTAGATATATAATTTTTTATTTAATTTTATTTAACATTTAAAATCATTAGATAGATAATACAAAAAGGTATGTAAGCGCCTAAAAGCAAGCAACTATTCAAAGACGAGCGTAGCATACAAGACAAAAGAAAACAGCTTTATGGGTCGGATTGTACTTGGCACGATGGGCACCCATGAACTTCACTATAATGACAGCAGACTACAAGATATGATTTTTCCACTTTCCACAAGTTAACCAGGTGCTGCTCCGTTGCGTGCATGCAGTCCGGACTTTAGACTATAAACCGGTATACATTTCCACATACTTTAGTGCGAGTGGGTTTGTGATAAAAAATTTTGTAAAATCGACACTTTAATACAAAAATAAAAAGAAATCGAAAATATTCATTTAACCTACATGGTGGTTGTTGGTGGAGTCTAATTAAATGTTTCTAGCCGCCTGCTCAGTGGATAATTCGATATGTGGTCTCAGCTAGTCTACTGAATTTATTGCTTTTATAATTGTTTTTTTTTTTTCATGAATAATGAGCTTGCTTGTATATATCTTTCCAATCACTTGTAGTAATAGTGAAAAAGGCAGGAATTAAGGTTTTTTTACAATGAGTTGCTTATATCTACATTTTACAGAAAAGAAAAATAGAGCAACTTAAAATTAATTGACACGCAAATCTGCACTAGAATTAGTTTTTCCGTGATATTTAGTCAAATCTTCAAGACGACGAGTTTTCATTTAGCTGCTAAATGGATATGCTTGTATGTCATAGACGTAACTGTGTACTGCGTAGGGTCATTCATATTGGTTATTATGCTTATTCCTGTTGATCACTGTGAGGGAAATTCTTGTGCTGAATTTAACTTTCACCTCACCATTGCCGGTATTGCTTTTGTGCGTCTGTTTGTCGTATTGCTGTTTTTAGTTAGATAAGGTAATGTAGAACTCTTTAGAGTCTGTCACAGATGATGGCATGTCCGATTACACTACGTACGGTCAAAGCTGTACTGCAACACTCCCTTTTTTTGGATATCTAATTGAAGGTTCTACAGCGCCAAGACAGATCAAAAGTGTTTGCCGAACGTCGGCCACCCATAGATTAAGTGATCCACCGATTGATTGCTGAAGTAACGAAATATTTTTGAAACGTGTTTTTGTTGTTGTAGCCGCAAAAATATTCCCCAAAGTAGTTTTTGGGGAATGTTGCGGAAGTTGCAGTCCTTAACCGGATAAAAATCCAAATGGTTTCGGTATAAAGATCCGACTATCGTGGGAAGTTTTAGATTTAAGTCGGCTCTTAAGACAAGTATGACTTAACGCGAGCCACTACCCGCATATAGTCCGATTATGTATGTAGATTCAGCAGGTTTCGTTGATTTAGGAATTTCATAAGTAGTGATGAGATTCCGTATAATGTTTAAACAGTACAAGGACTTTTCTTATGTCCACGACATCCTTGGAGAAGTTACGTCAAATAGTATAGCTTTGAAGTTGTTAAGACACAGCGTATTTTAAACGTGACTCGGGTTGAGTGAGGTGGAAAAATGGCGGATTTTTTTTTTTTTTTGCGGATTTCTTTCTTGTTGTTTGTGGGCACTCATGCGATAGGAAACTTATGATGGACTGATGGTTAGACGATTGAACCGTCAATGTACATGTGTATTGAAAGTTTAATATTCCCTTTATCGATAATTGTGAAATATTCTTTACTTTCTTTACTAAAAATCATTTTTTAATATTCTTTACTTTATGTGCATTATTTACATAAAACATATTTTTTTCTTTTTATTAATGAATGTGCTAAAATATATACAGCGATAAAAAATGGCAAGTTATAAAATACGTTCACATGTTCGGAGCTGGGAATAGACCCTAAAAAAGCGCGAAAAAATTAAGATCTAAAAATTAACCAAATAATTGAGGTTACACACGAACATTTGCCGATTCAACTAAGTCATGTAATAATATTAACTTATTTTAACTTTAATGAACAAAGGTATTTTCAAATAGTTTTCATTGTTGCCAATGCTTTGTGAACACATTTAGTAATCAGATCAGTATTTTTTTCTCAATATTATTTGCTCAAATGAATTAACCTGACTTTAGTGTTTTTTTAATGAATGTTAAACAAAAAAAACTCTTACTATCAGATAAAATAAATTAAGCTATTATAATTATTTTAATGCTCATATCTTACCAAAAACAATTATTTTAACCTACAATTTTTTTAAAGAGAAAATATTTTAGAATTATAGCGCCGATATAGATTTAAGAAAAATATTGCTTTTAAAAAACATTAAAAAATTAATACGAATTTAAAAAAAAAATATTTTAATTGTGAAAAAATTTAAAAGAAAAAATTATAAAATGAAATACTTAAAACCAAGCTAAAGAGGCAAGTTGTGACATTTTTTTTTTACTTTCGTATTTATATTTTTTTATTTTTTTTTCTATTATTATAAAAGCTTGTTTCACTTGCAATGAATGTTGTTTTGTTTCGCGAAATTTGCTAATTTCCTCAAGATTTATAGCGTTAAATTCGCCACTTTGTGCGATATGCAAATTACATTGCCTTATTTAACAAGTTTTTTATGCGAACCAAAAAAAAAATATGAAACAAAAAATATATAAATGCTTGGTGTGTATTTTAGTGTACATACTAAATTTAAGAAACACATAAAAGACTAATTAATTAGAAGGCAATAAAAAATGTTTATGTAATTATGATTTGATGCGTTCCTTCACATATTTACATACATATATTTTATGTAAGGCTAGAAATCCAACAAATAAAAATTACAAATATATTAATTATTTAAAAATGCAAAGTTATATATCTAAAGTGATAATTATTATTGGCTTCTACTTAGTATTACTAAAAAAAATAAGAGTTTATAAATTTATAGTGTGTTAAATAAGGAATAGATAAAAATTTATAAGAATTTAAACGTAAAATCAAATAGCAGATCGGTACTTAATTAAATTAAAAATAATAAAAAATAAGCGAAAAACAAACTTTCGTGCTTTTAAAAGGGCTTTTTGTTTTTATAATATCTTCTGCGCAAAGCTTGGAATAAAACTTTAATGATAGTCTAAAAGCGATGGAAAGAAATCAGTACCTATATAATAAATATATATAAATACATTCGAATTAAATGTGAGAGTGAACCGCAATAATTGTATTAAAAATTGTAAGATAATTCGTATATCATTAAATTGGTAAGAACTAAATTGTAGCTTTAAAAACAAATCTAATGGTTGATATAGATATAAATGCGACAGTAAACCAAGAACTTTTAAAACCAACTGTGTGACGTAGATAATTAAGGTATAAACTATGTACATTAATACAAAGATATCAGAAGTGGAGTACATGGTGTTGTGTATTTTGAATTAAAAAATATATATATTTAATTCTTTAATTCTGATCACTTAATTATTATATTTCATATAAATATTATAAGTACCCTATTTTATTCTGTTAATATTTCTGCCTTTTTATTTGTTAAATATTTCTCTAAAAAATTATTTACAATTTAATAACTAAGCAGGTAAAGAAAATTAGTGAAACCAAAATCCAAAAGCAAAACTGTTTGTGTTCGAACATAAAAAAAATATATATTTTATCGTACCTGCCTACAATAGCAAACAAACATTGCTCGAGAAATGTGAATGTGCCGGTTAAGCAGAGGCGCTGACGTCGAATGAACAGAGGCGTTGACTTACGGCCTACCAAACGTTGTTAGTGCAACAGCGAATGCATGAAAACATGAAAACACAAAAATTCAATTTTTCTGAATCTGAAAACACAGAAAAATAACAAAGAGAACCCAATAACACGGAGCTGAAATTCCCTCGTCAAGAATAAATGCACACGCACAAACAAATGCAAAGTGTAGCGTAGAGTAGCAATGTATGTGCCGAGTATTAAAAAAAGGAAATAAGAAGGAAAGCAAGAGAATTTGATAACAATAAATAGGCAGACAGGTAACTAAAAATGGTTGCAAGAAAGGAATATGGAAATATAAATCGAGTATGGCACTAGAACAAACAAAGAGTGTAGGTAAATGAATGAAAATGTTTGTTGCAAGAATATAGCACAGAGCCTTGCAGAGGAATTTGTAAACAACCTTGCACAAAGTCGTAACTAAATTCTAAATAATTATATACGGTTGTATTTTTCGCAGACAGAAGGTTTGGTGTTTCTAGGAAAATAAGTAGAAGGTAAGGGATTTAACATGAAAAGTAAATTAGTTCTTAATTAATTCAAAAAAGATTATTTTCTATAAGTAATACCGTTTTCAAAAGTTTGTTTTTCCTTTCTTCTATTGTAAACAACGAACGCTCAGTACTTTTACTTTGACATTTATCAGAATTTAATATTTTAATGCACTACATAGTGGGCACTGAAACACTTAAATAAAAATAATCAATGTAGTTGTAATGGCAGCTTTATTTTTATTTCGATTATCTGAACGATTCTAAATCAATCACATTCCACCAGTAACAGCTGTACGCTTCACTAAGCGATAAATTAATTCACGCAAATTATTTTAAGAGATATGTACTTTAAAGTGCGGCAACTCGCAGAGATTATGTATTTTTCTTTCGTATACGAAAAGTAAATTGAATAAATCACAATTTCCGACAATGATTGTGTATGAAAATATTATTTCCTGATTTATCCGCGTTTTACAACCGCACCACAAAACACCAAAATCCGTTTTGACCAGTTATCGCTTTGCTTGGCTTTAATTTGGCAATAGGCAATTCAACGATAAACGTCAGAGAACAACGAAGAGAGAAATTACCAAAGTGTCAAAAACGAAAACACTGCCAGTGCTGCCATTCTTTAGGCGTAGCCATATTTCTGTAGATTTTACATCAGCAACTTATATTCAGTTTACATGTGGAGAGTTATAAAAAAATTGATTTCGAAAAATATGTACATGTGAGTTGCCGCAGATTCATATTTGTTTGTTAATGAAAAGTTAACGTTTTGGATATTTCACATTTTTCGAACTTCCGAGACAAAACCTCATTTCTTCATGCATCTATTGTTTTACTACATATTGTTACGATTTACATCTCGATGATTTCCCTAATCCTTCGAGTTCGATCACTGGATTGTTAAATAAAAGTCACCTAATTTGTTATACTGAGGGCATCCGCAGCATTCAAGTGGTACTCGCGTACTGTCATTCGGTAGGCTAAGGTTCGTGTCCTGTTTCGACCAATTAAATTTAAAATGAAAAAATTAAATAAAAATTGAAATTAAAATTAAATAAAAAAATAGGTCAATCTATCTAACAGCGTTCACTCCTCGGCAGGGAATGTCCGCCCTTCCGAGTGTATATCTGAGATCAGGAATTTCGTAGGCAGCTTAGTATAAACTGTAAAACAGCAACAGATAAGAAAACACAATTTAAATTGACTGAAACAATATGGGAAGGTTATTTGGCGCTGAAGCGATCTTCCTCCGAGCACCTCCCCCAATTTGTGGTTTTGCGTCTTAATGTTTTTCCAACAAATTGTAGGTCCCTCACAATTCATACTAAGCCGCCTCCGAACGGCTGATGGTTTCTTTTTATGAGGAGCTTTATTTCGTGTCGGAAATAAACTCGGGGGTTTGACATTCCCTTCCGAGAGGCGAACGCAAGGCTAACCACTCGGCTACCGCGGGCGTATAGTTCCATATTTTCTTGCCTTCTAAACGCCAAATTGATATACAATATAATATTTAAATTAAGCTCCTTGTTATTATTTCTCTGATTGACTTAATAGATAGCGCTTTGTAACTCTGTAATAAAAATTATATGCAGTATTATTGCGAAGTATTTGGCAATAAAAAACAATATATTTAATAAAAGAATTATGTCGCGAAAATAAACCTTAAGCTTGCAATTAAAAATATTAAATTATAACTATTGTACTCTTATATTTTTGGAAATGATTGTCAATTAAAAACCTAAATCTAAATGGTCACCGCTTATCAAAATATCACCCTGTAATATTTATAGTCGGCTATGAATCATTTCCATCCAAAAACACGACCTATTCTGACCAATCAGAAAGCACCAACTCAGTAAATGAACGTAAAAGCGTAAAAAATATAGCAATCATTGAAAAATCACCAGTCCAAATTGAACACGACAGCAATTTAGTTGAAAACAAATATTTAACATTAAAGTAACTATTGAGTGGTCATGTAAATCCATAAGAAACCAAATGGCTTAAGAAATGTTGCGCAGAAACTTAACACAAAATCCAATTGGATAAAAATATCGACACGTCAGTTTGAGAAAACTTGCGAAAGTGTAAACATGAAATAAAATAATAACAAACTAATATAATAAATTCAACGAACTTGTAATGCTGCAATAATAGTTGCAAAGACTTCGGATAAAGCTCTGCGTACAATTTTTGGAATTGAAATCTCAGACCTTAAATCATAGCAATCCAAACAGAATATACCATGGCAGCGACAACACCAGCCGTTTTTATAACAGTGCCCAAGTACGTGGCCATAACACATAACCCAACCATGACGTTGCCTAAGATAAGGCCAGCACCCACACCCACGTCATTGCAAAGCACAAACACAATTGGAGCAAATTCAGATGCATTTATCGAGGATGGCGCTACCGCCCCTAGGGGCAAAAAGCGACGCCTTGACCACTTAACATGGGAAGAAAAAATACAGCGGAAGTAAGTGAAATGTTTTTTTATCTACAAATTAACGAGTATTAAATAAATTTCTTTTCACAGAAAATTGAAGAATCGTGTGGCCGCACAAACATCCCGCGACCGCAAAAAAGCACGAATGGAAGATATGGAACATGAAATTGAAGATTTAACACAAAAAACAGAAATATTACAAAATAAATGTGAAAGCTTGCAAGCAATTAATGAATCCCTACTTGAAAAGAATCACAAATTAGATATGGAAGTTGAATTACTTCGACAAAAACTCGATGAAGTGCAACAAAAACAGAAGAAACAAGAAGAGCAATTAGCCAGTAACGCAGCAAAGTTAAAAGCTAAAAACACAGTTGAAACTTGTGCCGGCTGTGAGTCCATACTCAATGGATCTGCAGTATCCATATATACTGACCCTCTGCAGCAGGGATCAACCCAAATGGACTCTCAGTCGACAGAAGAACAACTGAAAAAGAGCAACTCAGTGGCGTCACTGTGGAGGATTATTGCACTTTGCCTACTCTTCAAGATATGCTCCTCGTCGACGAAGAATTCGATGCCAGCAAATTGGAAGAACTTGCCGAAAGCCTCCTGGCCGATATCACAGCGGACATGGAAGCTGGTAATGGAGCGGGCAATGAAAATGATGCCAAAATCGCAGGCATCGCAGAGCGATTGTCTGGATCAATGGTGGGGACCAAAACAGAATGCCTGGAATCCGGCAAACATACAAACGCACAGAGTATCAATTTAAATAAACGGAAATGGCCATCTGATGATAAATTACAAAGTAAATTACCTGCAGCGATAGATGAGCTTATAACCACTAACACATTGCCTGTGCCTTCCACACCTATAACTATTGCATCAGCAACAACCATGCCAACGATAACTACAGACAATGAAATATACAGCATGGAGGAGGGACAATTAAACGAAGAGATTGAAACTTCAACGCCACCCGATATGCTGTATGGCACTTATGATGCCAAAACAAACTCCATCACTATAGTTGTAGATGATGATGCTGTGCCAGTAAATGAAGCTGTCGAAGAAATATATTGTGAAGGTGTTATGCCGCAAACGTGTGATGAAATTAAATATCCCACACCTGCTGCCTCACCCTCACAAGTTTTCCTGAATGTGGTCGATGATTCTGATGATGACTTGGACTTCGACCCAATAGAGCGTTTTCTACAACCTAAACAACCGCTATCTAAATCACCCGCACCATCACTGCATTCAGCCACCTCAGATCACGGCTATGAATCGATTATTGGTTCACCAACATCTGCAGCGACGGAACAATTTGATACGAGTGCTGAAGATTTCGGTTGGCATGGTAGTTTCAATGACTTGTTTCCAAATTTAATTTAATTGTGTCAACTCTAATTTCTTAGTAGTAGAACTTAGATCTATAATTTGTACGCCATGTCACATAGATGCTGTTATATGCAATAGTTGTAAGTTGTAGTGTGTTAATTTGATTGTATTATTCAAAAGAATTTCCTAAGGGTTTCCTAATTTAATTGGGTTAGTAGTTAAAAGCTCAAATAACTAATTTTACAAAAATTAAAATATAAGTACCATTTGCTTAATATATTTCAAATTGTACGTACATATGTAATTTTTTATCGCTGTATCTAATTTATTTTGTAGTAATTAAGATTAAAATGGTTTAAGCACATTTGAAAAAAGCTTACAAATAAAAATACATATATGTTACCGTTGAAAAAAAGTGAAAATTTTTAATTTAGTTTAGCTTAAAAGGTTTTATTTGAACGTTGGTTCATGCAGAGCTCTGAAAAAATCAACAGGTACGTAAATAAGTATAAATAATTCTACACTTGTATTCTTTTTTGTACTCTAAAACACGTTAGAAGTACTATTCTTTATTATATATTAAAAATTATAATAAGCTTATAAGTCTTGATTTTGATACTTTATATTACAATTTTTCAGATTTGTACGATTAAAGGGCTTGAAATTAGAATGCATTACCACTAAACTAATTTTTTTATAACTATAATTTTATTTAAATGACAAGTCATTCTCAAAAGTAATTTAATTAGCCATTGACATAAAGCCATAACTTTTATAAAGAAACCCTCTTTATATATGCTCTAAGAAAATCTTAATTAAATATAAATTCTTATTTTAAATGAAATCAAATAAAATTTCAAATGTTAAAAGCATAAATTTAATTATGCCTATCAATCAAGAGACACCTGCTCCCGCTTTCAGGTAATTAAATTTATGCATTAATACACTATGTCACAAGTTTAAATTGTGATCTTACTTATAGTGATTTCGAGTAATGAACGTTTCTTACTATTGCATGAGTTATATTTATTATTACATAGTATTTTGTATGTATATGTATGAAATTAATTATATATATATTTTTTTTTTTTTTTTTGCAACGATATAAAAATATATCTCTCTTATATACTGTCTTTTTCTGATTGCAGTTATAATTTTGTATTGGACTTGCCTATGTGTGTATGATCAATACAATCAGTAAAATCGAAATGTAATATATAGTCAAAATAAAAGCTAGACACAGCTAGTCAATGCACGTCATATTTGTACGCAAATCAAATTATTCAACATACACGATTTTAGCAAAACAAAAATAAATAAAATAATAATGAAAAGCAGATGAATAGATGTAATTTTGTACTAAAATAACTTATATATACAAATTTTAAAAGTATATATATAATATATATATATATATATATTGGTTTGGTTGCAATCTTATTGCACCATGCTACTTCGATCGGCAGATATCTGTGTCATTTTCCTTCAAAAAACTTTCGGGCATATATAATACCGTACTTTATTGCAGTATCGCACCCAAGACGAATGATAACGTGCCATATTACGCGCCTGTACACGCTGAATGCGATGTAACAACATAATACATAAAAGCAATATGCAAATAAACGGTGGCCAAGCGAAACGCACAAATATCGGCATCGCTAACGCAGCTAAAGCAATCAAATCACCGGCATAATTAGGTTGACGCAAACGACCCCATAAGGAGCCAAGTAAAAGGCGACGTCCTTGGAAAGTATGTATGGTTTCGATGCCCTCAAAGTAGGGATTTGTTGGATTTATGCGATACTTGTACTTCACAGCGTTACTTAAACGTTTGAGTATCAAACCAGTAATCTGCAACGTTATTGGCACATAAGCGGCAAAGCAGCATATTAATGGTGTTGAGACCTCCATTGGGCGTTCAAGTTGTTGCTCATAAAAATAACGTGCTACCGCTGTTAATAAATACGGTGTGGCTGCATAGCGTATCAATAATAATGCACCAAAACCTTCGCCTTGTAGTTCAAAAGAAGAGGCCAAATGATGTTCGAAAATTATAGCATCCAAAACGTAAGCCAGCAGCATACCCGAAGAGATCAACGCCGCACTATCATAGTGAAAATTTTTAAAGTAGTTTACGGCTGATGTCCAAACATCGGCGTTTTCAGTAGACGTTTGCGAAAGTAGGGGTAGTTGCTTGTATAGATAACACTCGCCATAGAAAAGTGTTAGCAACAATGCCACACGATAAAATACCAATTTAAAGTCAACAAAATTTAACCATTTGGGATTTAGCTGTTTGCCTTGTGCGTAGTCTATCAAGACATTTCCTGTTTTAGCATATATATTGAATTGTTGAACGTGGCTTTTATTTTTCAACATACCGGCACGTATGTAAGCCCACAGTGCTAAAATGAATGCATTAATAAAGCCATAAAGACAGAAATTTAGTTGATGTTCCAATACGAAATCAGCCACAGGATAATTAAGATACTCAGCATAACCAGCGGCTAAGGTAATTATAATTGCTATGGGCGCTGCGTTGAATTTATATTCCAAGTCATGTTGAAGGTACGTGCCAAAACGTTCGGTAGGTAAACGCACATAACGTCCGAATAACAATGCGGATAACACGAACACGCCAGTTTGAAATGCAATAAATACACCAACTGCTTCATTGCTAAAAACCGATTTCCACATAGTACTATCTTTTAGTGTACTGATATCTAAATTAGGTATTTTTAACTCACAAATGCGCTTTTGGCAACTCAATTGTAAATAATATACAATGCAAGGCACCAATATCAATATTAGAGTGATTCCCGCCCAACCACCAAATTCTCTTGGAATCTCTAGTTGCCTGCAGTTTTGTCCAAGCGCTGAAGTTGAATAAGAATGCTGTGCCGTTATGTTGAAACTTTTATAATGCTCATCATTATCCTCATCATCTTCATCTTCCGCCATTTGTCCATTCGTTTCATTATCAGAAAACTCAGCTTTGGAGGAGACGCCATCATCGTAAACCGAACGAGAAATTGAACGACTGTAACGGCTTTCTATTTCGGTGTTTGTTGTAGGTGTATGAGTACCTTCACGTCGTCCACTATCAATAGCTTTTGAAACAGATCGACGTATGTAGTCTGATAACTTTTGAAACTCACTATCCATTGCAGATGTGGTTGAACGTATTTCAATTGTTTTTTGAGTGCTACTACTGCTGTAAGTGCTGTGTACTGATGATGTTGACTTGTTAACAAAGCGCGGCGAGCTTTTACTTGGCGCAGCAAGATTTGAGCCAAGCGCTGTTGGTATTCGTGTTTTTGATGATGTTGTTTTAGGTGACGGTGACTGTTGGTTTATTTCGATTATTATTTGTCAATAATGACTTTTTATATATGATGTCTTACCTCTTTTATTTCCTTAATTGGTGATGGATTTGTTGGCGAAGATTTCCTTATCAATATCGTTGTTGTAGATGGCGCTGTTGTTACATTTGAAGTACGTGTGCGTGAAGAACGGCGTGTGCGCCCAGGTGAGGCATTTCTTGGTGGTGATACTTTTGCCCGGGAGGAAGTTCGTTTATTGGGTACATTGACGTGTGTGCTTGTTGTACTAGTCTTCTCTACCACCGGTGCTGACGTTTCCGATTCATCTAAGCGTTTTGGACGACCACGAGTACGTCGACCCTCCATTTCAATGGTTGCTTCTTCTCAAATAAATCACTGAGTAATGTTTGCAATGTTCTCGTTATATCTAAAATAAGAAAATAAAAGTTAAAAATAGATTACAACTGACGGGGGTTTATAATTTGCCCACTGCAACAATTTTTCGCGCCAAGTTGAAGCCGACGTCGACGTTACTGTACACCTTTTTTATATATATACATTTTTTTTCTTTCAAATTATGAGTGTATGCTGCCGCCGCCGAGATATTTTTATGCACTTAAGATTCCTACCCGATTGCAAACTACACTCACCTAATTAGAATTATCTCTCTAATACACAATTTAAATTTTAATATAAACCGCAAAATCAATTATACGTAAATAATTGTTTTATTTATTTAGATAAATTTTTACATGAATTTTAAACAGGAGTGATGCCGCTTTGACTTCTGTGAAAATGAACTAGAATAAACGCCAAGAAGGGAGAGGGTAAATACGAAAAAATATTTTCCAATAACAATCAAAGAGAGTAAGGGAAACAACAGATGTAGGTAAAATTGTGTGTGCGTGAAAAATAAAAAAGCAGCTGCAAAATAAAAACAGTGCTGAATAACTACAATTTTTACTCCTTAGGCATTGTCAATCATAAACAACGCTTTACGCCGTGCATGGCGTTGACATTTAAGTCATGGAGGCAGAGAACTTAGAATAAAAAATACATATATAATTATAAATTTTTTGGAACAAAAAAGATGGAATATGCGTCCCAATTGAAAAATATTTGAAAAAACTGTTATTTGCTCTTACAATTGCATACCTTAATTTTCCAGTGAAAAATTGAAAGTATACATGTAGACATAGTTTTCGAATTGCGAAACGAAATACTTGTAAAACTATTTGCAGACATAAACAATGAAATTGATGATTTGTGACTTTTATAACAAAAAGGTATTTAAACATTTCATCAATTTCGAATTTATTGAATTTACTGCTATTCCAATTGTCGTTCTCCAAATGCTTATTCGTTGAAGTTGTTTTCTGAACTCGTCCTAAAATTTGTTTTGTGCGCGTTGATGCTTTCAAAGTCGGCTCCGAACGGTCGAGGGAATTTTATGAGGAGCCTTCATTTCATGCCGGAAATATATTTGTAACGGTTTCTCTCTGAATATGATTTCATCATTTCTCAAATGCTTCGAGTTCGTTATTAAGTAAAATTCCAAGAGAGAGATTTGTTTTTACGATTCTTTATTATAAGCACACAGTTTACTAACTATGAAACTCTCCATAAACACAAAGTCTCTCCGAGTGAAGACCATTATGTCGCTCAGCGGTTTAATAACTTTATACCGACTATCCCATTTGCTCTTCCATCTCGGAGTCAATCCTTTTCTTCGTTTAGAATCAGAAAACATTACGTTTCCGATATCTTTTCGTCCCTGTTGCCTCACCATATTAGTTTGAGGGCCTGGAAGGGATTTGTGCCACGAAAGGTTGGTGCCTTAGTCTTCGAAACGCTAAATCAATGTTCTGGAAGTTTATTTTGGTCTCCTTCACTTTGTCCTAGTATTCATGCTGTGTTTTCTCGAGCTTGTATTGTCGATCTTCGATTCTATCCCGCCCTCTTTGAATTCTGGGTAGTATTTCAACGAATTCTCTTAAAGCTGTGTGAGCTGCGATAAAATGTACGCTATCATCGTTTGTGCGGTCATCATAAACTAGGAGTCTTTTCTTCAACACTAGTGGATGACTGCTGTAAATACTGTTCAGAATCAACGGCCCCTTCCTTTTCTTCATTTTCGCGAATGTCACCTCGTTCTCCCAACTCAAGTCAATGCCTTCGGCTTTCATAACTCCGCGCAGGTGTGATTGTAGCTCTGTCTTATATCCGCTGGTAGAAATGCTTCTCCTCGCCATTTCTTCTTTGAGGGGCAATATAGTTCAATCCTGAGTTTTGATCATTTTCTGTTTTAATCTTTATGATACAATTAACATATTAACTGTGAATACACAGTTACTAACTATACGACTTTCTATAAACCCATAATTTACTTCCCTTTACTTCACTATTGTTGTCACTACCGAGTTCCAAACTCAAGCTAAACAAGCTTGCGGCGACTTGACTGCTGCTCTTATATACCTAACGTTCTCTCGCTCGCAACTGTAGAAAGTTCTTTTTTCATAGTTTCGATGACGAATATTCATTACACATGCTCTAAGTTTATTTTAATCTTGGTCTACACTTTAAAATTTAACAAAATTATTTTGGAATGTATGAATATGTGGCAGCTCTCGAAATGTTTTCAGAGATTAGCTGCATTTCGTAAGGAGAAAAATACGTTCGTAATTGCAATACAGAATAGAATTATAGTAAAAAATTTTGGAATATCTTTGAATATTTTCCATTTGTGTTTTTTCCACCGAAATCAGAAAGTAAGCAAAGAAGTAACATTTTTTAAAACGAATTTGAATATTATTTATTTAAACAGTTTATGCAAAATTTTCCAGTTTTATCCGTCAAACTAAAGATTTTCTTTGTTTTTCCGAACTTCCCTCTTGGTTTTAATTCTTGTTTGCTGTCTACGTGCTGGCCAGGGAGTTGGGCAAAGTGTCAACAATCGAAAATTGTATGATATAATATACTGTTAAAATTGTTGCAAAATCATTGCCGCATTTACGCACGAGGAGCGGAATTTATATCCAAAATAACTGCCAAGAGCAGAAAATATTAAGCACAGAAATAAACAGAATGGCCACTCCTCAATCTCCCACACGTATGTTCAATGGTCTGGACGAAGACATTTATAACGAGGCCAAATTCGCACACGAAATAAATGACAAAATGCGTGTACCAAAGCGCATCAAAGCTACTGGCGAGTTCTCAGACGAAGATCTGCTTTTGTCCAATCAAAATGGTTTAATTAATTCATGGAACTACCATGATAAAATCGACATGAACGTACCAGATCGTATAGTGGTATTGGGTCACAATCAACATTTGGAAACACGTTCCGCACCTCGTGAAATACAGCTGGAAAATTCTATACTACCTAAAAATCCAACGGCGAGCATGGTGCGCGTCCAAACACCACCACGAGTAATAACACTTAATGAGCATCATTTCCCTTCCGCTTCGGAAGAGAGCTCACCACATCGATATGATGACGGCGGTGACTTTGAAGATGGTGATTATGATGATGACGATGAGTCGCGTCCGCCACCATATGTACGTGCTAACGGTATAGGCCATGCACAAGTTGGTTTCCATCCGGTTGACTCGAATTCCGTTGAATCGGATTCTCAAGTAAGTTTGCATTGTGATTTCATTTGTATTTATTGGATATTATTCAAAACAAAACAACCTGTTATAGTTATATATTTCAAAAAAAGTCTTCTTGACACGAAATTTCAAAAGTATTACTTTTCAAAATAAAACCTCAAATGTTAAACAATATATTTTGCTAAAATCGTACCATTTGCGTTCATATCATATATTTGCAATAATACAAAACAACGACACTTTTGAAATGTCAAGTCACCTGAGGACAATCGCTTTGAAAGATTTACTAGTGCTTATACATACATTTTTTTTTTAATAAAAAATTCTTTTTGGCTACATAATTTGTTTCTTCATTCCAGTTGACTACGGGTGAAGCTAGTAAACGTTCACAGCAGCTCGCTTACAACAACAATGATGTATCCATTGTCAGCCATCGCGAAGGTACGCCAATGGGTGAACTTACACCACATGAAGAGATACTTTACTTGCGACGGCAATTGGCCAAACTTAATCGTCGCGTACTGAATATAGAAATCAATAATGAGCAACGTTTACAACGTGAGAAAATCGTATATTGCTTGGGTTTAGCATATTTCGTATTAAAGGCTGTATTTTGGCTAAACCGTAATTGAATTTTATATTAAGTACTTATACAGACAGACATGCATATAACCGCAGACATATTAGTAAGCGCAACAGCGACGCATTTTCGATTGTTCTAAATTTATTGGTGTTTCGAACAAGAGTATATCTTTTAGAAAAGTGATATTGAGTGGGTTGATAATATAAATATTCCTCAATATTAATATTTATATAGAAACACCATTTTTTTTGCTTTGTTGTTGTGATGCAGTCAAGATTGTTTATTTGAATATGAACTGATGAAATCTATTAAAACTTGGTTATACCGATGTTATTATTGTCATTATGTGCATATAACAAAACAACAGTGTAGATTTGTATACGTTTATTTTACCTTCAAATAAAATTTTGTTTGGTATTCCCATATGAAATACTTTTTCTAAGTTATATGCTCATATCCAGACTTTTTAATAGCCCTGAAATTTTAAATAGGAATAAGTAGTAAACAAACATATTTTATGTGATTTATTTCTGACATACATATGTACGTACATGTTATACTTGGATTTTCAAATTTTCAAATAATACACCAATATTTGCACATTAGTATGTACATTTAATATATACTCTGGTTAATTTTTTTTTATTATTTATACATATTTTAATTTTATTTATAAAATTGCATTACATTGATTTCTATACTAATGCCATATTACTGTTAAATATGTTAAACATTAAAGAAGAAATGAAGTTAGTTAGAAAAAATACGCATAACGTTGTCTCTGTTGAAAATGTTTATTTGAAGGTATACGGTTATCGTAAGAAAATGTTGAGATTCGTCTACCCCCCGAAAAATCATACTAACCCTATTTGGTTATATTTATATAAAATAATTTTCGAATTGTCTTTTTTCTACAATTTCATGGAATTTGCCTTACCTTCAGCTTTAGATTAAATTTAGTGCATAGCTTTTTATTTGACTGAAGTTGTGTTCGATAACGAAAACTAAAGAATTATCATTTAGTAATGTCTAAAACGCAAGTAGAGTTCTTAAAAAAAAATAAATAAAAAATAAAAGAAAAATCAAGCCCAACTATTGCCTTGTCATTTTCCCATATATACGAACTTTCCAACGGATGACGAACTTTCCAATGGATATGTAAACTCATTTGTGTAATTTGGTTCCATTATAAGTCTCTCATTTTTTTCATCATTTGGAAAGCGTAAGGGAGGTGGTGGAGAGTCACTAGAGTATCGATGCACTCTTTCGAAGTTTCTTTCAAACTTTCGCGGACTTGGCTCATTCGATCTTACTAACTCATATGAAATAATGGGCGGAGATGGCGTAGGAGGTCGTTCCCCAAATTCCTTACGTCCACTATCTGTCATTTTAGAACGGGAATCGTGTTTTCCTGTTGCATTTAAATATTTGTCATAACTCGTATGGCGGTAGTCAGGAAATATATTTGAAATTCTGCGTTCATTAGGATAATTATCATCGCTTCCACTACTAGAATGGTATCTTGTTCTGCCCCTTTCGTACTTTCTACTATCCGAGGCACATATATTTCTTTTCATATTTCGTCTGTTTCTTACGACCTTATACTACGACAAGGCGTTTCGTCGGTCTATTATGTTAAAGTAGGTCACCCAAGACAGAGCCCTTTGTCATGGTAAGTCCACAGCTACTCCCGAAGGCGAACCGCTATACGAGATGCTCCGTTCAAATACAGTCAGTCGTGACTCCCTGACTGCACACTATACAAAATAAACGCGGTGATGTTTAACACCTTGGGTTAGGGGGTGGTAGCTTTTAGCTTTTGCGCTTCGACAAACCAGCTAAGTGGTAATAATGTACTTTGAACCGTTCAGTTGTTGTACCCTTGAAATTATCGCAACTAAGCCTCCGCACCACGACAAGGTGGCTACCAACCGCGGAGGTTGATATTTAGGTCTGCCTCTTATGAGCTTGATTCATAGAATAAGTACCGCGAAAAGTAATCCTACCTGCGTAGGTTAGACATACGAGTTTTTTTCCTTAAATGCTTTATTTGATTGAAAAATATGTATTATTCAAATTTAACCAATGCCTATCTAAACAATTTCCATACCAATTTAATATATGTACCAACACATGTCAATTCCGAGTTTAAAGTTTTGGTTTTGAATACTCATACGCATTTATGTCGCCTAGCACACACTGAAATAAGAAAGAAATATTGTTCCTTTCTATTCCAAACTATTGTTTTCATACTTTAATGTTCCCCTTTGTAAGAAACTCTTCTTAACCATCATTAACAGTGCCCATGAAATTATATTTAAATGTATATTCAGTCACATATATAATAGCATTCTTTTATTTTTCACGACTGGGAAAGAACATTCACTTATAATATAACTATGCATTTGCTCATTTTAATTTTTTTTTATTATTTAAGTTTATATTAAATTATTAAATGCAAATATTTTTTGTTACGACTTTGCATATATTACTTTTACTAAAAACTAATACTTTTCATATAATAAATGCATGAGTGTAAACGGTCGGTGGCCAGTCACTTCCATTTTTCTCTTTTACTGTTTTTATAAATTGAAATTTAGTGATATTTTTTTTTTGACATAAATGAATATAACTTTGTTGTAAGATTTAGCAGAGATGGTTGTGGCAAATGAACAAGTAGAACTTATATTATTTTTAAGTGTAGAATTTTGTGATTTTTTATTCGCTTTCTTCATCATCATCGTCATCATCATCATCTTCCGACTCGGCCTTCTTGCTCTTTTTAGCGGGTTTTTTCGCTGCCTTACCACGTTTCTTGGTATTACCATTTGCTGAGCTGCCGCCATTCGCCTCGAATTCTCGCACAGCATCTTCGTAATTCTCTTTAGCCTTGGCAGCCTTCGCTTCCCATTCCTGCAAATAGAATATTTAATAAATATTATTAATAAAGGACGCATTTAATATATATATATATATAATTAACTTACAGATTTGTCCTTCATGGCACGCCATAATTCTCCGCCTTTTTTCGCGACTTCGGTAACCTTAATACCAGGATTTTCGCGCTTAATTTGTTCGCGAGCACTGTTCAACCACAGCATATATGCGGATAGAGGACGCTTTGGCTTATCAGACATGTTTGATTTTAATATTTCAAATTACTGGGAATTTTTTATGATTATTTAATTCAAGTTACGTCTGAAATGATAGAAAGAGAAATTATTACACATTTTCTTTGATATTACTCCGTAAACGCAGTAGCGTGCATAACCAATCATCGAATTCAAACTATGCTCTTATCTTGCTATTCCTATTACATTCAAAAATAAAAATTTTATTCATTATTTTCCCCCTACTTTTTTTTTTAATAACATTTAAAGCAGTATATTTTCCCAGCGTTATTTATTGTAATAAATAACTATTGAAAAAGAATAATAGCGCATTTTATTAACTGTTTTCAATCTGGTTCACTTTTGTCAGTAAAATGCGTTTTGACTGCATTACAATTGGAGCATTAAACTTATGAAAAAACACTGTTTAATTCTGTATATAAAAAAATTCAATTATTTTAAAAGTTAATCACTTCTCACCAAATCAAGACAACTTCGCTGAGTTGAACTTCTCTTCAACTACACTGGATTTCAACTGTACTATGGCAAAAGCCGATTTTGCTTCTATTGAGGTTGCTCAGCAGCACTGCAAGCTGCGCTAATTTTATCAACTAGTTTCTTTTCTGTTTCTTCTTTACTCGCTATTTTGTCAGCAATGAGGCACAAGTTCATATGTGAAAAGACCGGTAAATCAACAATGGCGAGTAGAATTAAAAAAGCCGTGTAAATATGGGCTAACAAACGCATTACAACGAGCGAAATAAAGACAAAAAGAAAGGCGTTAATCACACAAAATAACTATTTGCAATGGCGGTAAATGTCTGCGTTGGCGAAAGTATGTGTTGTGATGAAAAATGAGGAAAATGTAGAAAACAATAAAACGGGGGGTAAACAATTCCAAGCGCTAGTGCTTGAATTGTTTAAATTAGCTTCCCCAAAGTATTTATTCTCAAAATTTAACATTAAAACTTTGTTAGGTGGTATTTAAATTGTTCAATTTGCTCCCGCCATAAGGCCTCTAGTTAGCGCCAAATTACCGTGGCAACGCAGTGTACTTATACTTGATATAGCTCATCGAAATTAATTATTTCTAACTTTTTTTTTCGAAATAGCTTGGACAAATATTGATTAATATAATTTAATCAAAATTTCTTAAAAAAAAAACCAAAAGCCTTAAATTTATTAATATAATTTAAACAAAATATCTTATGAAAAAAAGCAAGAAACTAATACACAGTATTCAAATTTATTTTGGCGGTACTGACGCTAACTAGTGCCGAGTGTGGCCATCACTACGATGAACCAAAAAAATTAAATCAATACGCAAATACATACATCCTTTTCACTACATCTATCCTCATTCGAGTTAGATAAAAATGAAATTTTTAGAATAGTTAACAAAGCAATTCAAACTATTTATAATTAATATATGTATCAACTTTCTAAACTATACTGGCCTTTTGCAGTATACAAATTTTAACCCGGCTAGCAGCTACATGTACATATTAACAATGCACGAGCATAATACCGTATTAATTATTTCTTTCTTTGGAATTCAATCGCCTTTATTAACAACTTACCTTGAATTATTACAAAAGCAATAAATTTACTATATCTTCACAATTTTAGTTAAATTCAAAAAACTATTATAAAACACACTTTAACACTTCGCTTCAAAATCGGAATGAATGTACTGAACGACTGTACCTATACACGAAGCGTGCTTCATCAAAGAAAATGCACAACGAAAGAAAATAGAAGAGATAAATAGCGAGTTCCGCTAACGAGTATAATGTTTCAGAGTTGTATTCACGTTCAAGATTAGTTTGTTTTTCTTCAAGGCAAGTTCACACTCGGTAGTAGCAAAAATAAATAAAAACCGATGTGTAACCGATTGTTTGTGTAATCATAAAATCGAGATTTCAGGTCCTGTCTCCACAGGCAATCACTGGAATAAAGAACGTATATTAAATTCAAGTTGTCCGTCCATCATATAAGCTGGGCAAAATGCAAAAATTCACACAGGCAGTTGACAAGCATGACCAAAGAACGTATATTAATATACGTTCTTTGGTTCTTTGTTTTAATTTAAGAAATAAAGTTTGATTGTGAATACAAAAGAGACAATTCAAAATAGATTTTTTTATCTGCTAGAAATAATAAAATAGGTAAATAACGTTAACCTTAATGTTTTCGTTGTAGTATATGTTTTATAACTATCTTTTAATTATACAGTACTTTGAAAAATATGGAAATTGGCGAAATGTTTAATCCAGCCGATCACGGGCTAACTAAAGACTTCCGTCTTACCAATTTTTCAACATTAAGAGGGTGAGGCTGCAAGTTGCCTGAAGAGGCACTCAACAAGTACCTCCGGGAAACAGATATTTTACACAAAGTCGCTCATAATGAAAACAAACAAGATAAAGATGGATTTATTGGTTCTGGAATGGATTGTGCTGTGATTCCACTATATCGTCACAAAAACTATTTTCTCGTTCAAACTGTGGACTACTTTTATCCTTTGGTTAATGATCCCAAAGTTATGGGTAAAATTGCTTTAGCCAATGTGGTTAGTGACATATATGCAGTAGGTGTTACAACATTCGATAAGCTGAATATGATCGTTAGCGTTTCAACTAACTTTACCGAATTGGAGCGTGACGTTGTCCTTCCGGAAATAGTTAGTGGTTTTCTCGAATCAGCAAAAGAGGCTGGTTGTCGTGTACATATCCAGAGTGTATCTTACAATCCATGGTGTATTATTGGTGGCATAGCCAGTTCTTTATGTACAGAATCAGAGATTATAATGCCTTCCAATGCTAAGGAAGGTGATGCCATTATACTAACTAAACCGCTGGGTACACAACTAGCTACTAACGCATATCTCTGGATGGAGGAAAGAAATGATAAATACATTAAATTATCCACTCACTTAAGTGACGATGATATAAAAAAGACTTTCAATAATGCTGTTAAGTCAATGACATTCCTCAACAAGATAGCCGCCGAATTAATGCACAAATACAAAGCGCATGCTGCAACAGACGTCACGGGTTTTGGTCTACTGGGGCATGCTAAGAATCTCGCACGTTTTCAAAAGGAACGCTTATCGTTTGAATTAAATAAGTTGCCTATTATAACAAATGTAGTTACTATCAGTGAAATACTTGGACAAGATCGTAAATTGAAATTAGGTAAAGCAGTTGAAACATCCGGTGGCCTTTTAATATGTTTACCAGCGTGTGAAGCTAAATCATTTTGCGAAGACTTCGCTGCAATGACTAAAAATAAACAACACGCTTGGATTATTGGTAGCGTGAAAAGCACCGAGGAGGAAGGTAACGCATTTCTTGTCGAAAATCCAGAAATTATAGAAGTTGACCAATAAAAACATCTTCATTTCTCACCTGTAGCCACTTCACTAATACTAATGCCTTTAAGTAGTTAAGTATGATTTGTACTTAAAAACTAAAGGATTCAATAGATGACGAGGTTTTCGTAAAGATGTTTTGTCATGAAAACCTCTGATAAAGTTTTGATCCCAAATTTTTAAGCAAATCGTATGACACTATATATACATATAAATTATTGTATGAAATGTAATGAGCGTCTAAAAAGTTAATATATCCAACCAATGACGATATTTTCTTAAAGATTTTTAAATCAGGAAAATTTCTGATTAATTTTTGGTTTTAACATTTACGATAAATTTTACATTTTGGAATTGAAATTGAAAATTAAAATTCTAAATAAAAACATCAAAATATTTGAGTTTTATTATTAGCATATAATTTTGAATTAGTCAAAAATAGTGTGAGCGGCTATAAAGTGCAACTTATATGTACATGTATGTATGCATCTATATACAATCAGATCGCTCATGGTATGGGAATGTGCCAGGAAGCTAAATGAGATGGGAGAGCAGAATCAAGTTCTCATTTGAGTGCCAGGACACACACGAACTCGACGGAATGAAATAACGAATGAAAATGACGAGCTTGCAAGGGATTCAGCAGCAACATCCCCAAATAAGACCACAAAATAAAATTGTCCAAAATCGGAGAAAAGCCAAATACATAGGCTTTTAAGCGACGATATTAAGCAATTCAAACAACTAATGATTCCAACTTATAGCCTGTTAGAGCGCCTGAGGGACTTAGGTCGAAGCCATGTAATATGATAAGAATTAGAGCGCAAAATAGACCCAGTGGTCCTTCAATCTATCTACATATGTTCATATGTATGTATCTATATATGTATGTATATACGCTCGTTTACAACATATATTCGGTTCAAGTAATATTATTTTCAATCCGGCCGAAATTATTTTCTTCTTAAAGCCAAACTAAAATAATAATTTTACTATTTTGAGAATTAATATATTTAAATATTTATTTAATCATAGTTCATTTCTGACTCAAATCTACATTTACATATACATACAATTCAATTTAAGTTCATGAACTTCTATGTTTCTCTTATTTTTTCTTTTTTTATATTAATAATTTCTTACACATTAATATTTTGTTTTAATTAAGAACTTGTTAATTTAGAAATGTCCTTAAATGCTGTTGTATTTATTCTTCAATGTATGTTTGTATTTGTTTTATAATATTGTATATCTATATATGGATATACATATTTGTTGCAACAAAATTTGCAAAAACATATATGAAAATGTGTTTTTAACTGGTTTACACTTTTTAATGTTTTTTTTTTGCAAATTATGTATGCATGTTTTATATATTTTTTATTTTTGCTTAATTACGCGTTCCGCATGTACAATAATACACCAATCCTTTTTTTTTATTTCTTTAATGCTTGCCTGAATTTTGGTTTGCTTCCAATCTTTTATGTAAATACACAGTAGATTTAAATGTTTTATTTATATATTTTTTTCTTTTTTTTAATTTTTTTTGTTCATTTATTTTGTTTTATTACTGATTTTGTCAGTTTTGTATTACATCAAGTAAATTTACAAAACATAACTAAAAACGAACTTACAGTGTAAAATGTGGTGAAAAAATGAAAGGACAGAATTTCTTTTAAATATAACTAGTTAAATAATATAAAGGTAGTCAGAGAAGAAAATGTGGCATACATACATACATATGTATGTATATACATACTATATACATATACATAAATACATATGTATGTTTGCACACTAAGAAAAGAATAGGAAAGAAAATTTATATTTCAAAAATATAAATATAAAAATAAATATAAACATGTCAAATTTTCACTATGCACATGCAAGATAATTCGCATGAATATCCAATATTCATCTTAATTTATATTTTATAATATAAAATTAAAATATACCATACTAAAGTATACATAGGAAATCATATTACGGAAATTTTATAAACGTAAATACATATCTACATACATATGTATATAAAAGAAAACTAATTCAGATGGAAGGAACACATTTCGAAAAATGATTTTCTTTTTGTTTTCCTCTTACTCAATAGTATTTGTAACGTTTTAAAAACTGGAAATTTTATATTATGTATTTGTTATTTTCATTTTACGGCTATTTTATTTTAAGTAGTAATGTTTACTTGTTTTTTATTTTGAAATTGTTTTTGTTTGTTTGTATTTTATTTACTTTTTGTTTGAGTGCATATAGCTGTAATGTATGTATAAATAAAGTTACGCATTAATGTCATATTCGTATATATACATACATACATTTGTTTTATATGCCACTTAAAATTACTTTAATAAAATATTTTTAAAACTTATTGATAAGTTTTCGTCACATCCTCTTCCCTCACGCACCGGACGCAATCACTTTCACGCTCCAGCGTTTAGTCGCTTTCCTCTTCTTCTTCTTCATCGGACGTGTCTTTCTTCTTTGTCTTCTTGATGGGCTTCGCGGCGGGCTTACCTTTTCGCTTTTTGGCTGCACCGGTATCGGTACCACCATTGGCCTCATACTCTTTAACTGCCTTGTTGTACTCTTCCTTCATTTTTATGGCCTTCTGTTCCCATTCCTAATACAAATGAAATGAAATAAAAGAAATTATATGTGTTAGTGAGCTATGTAAAAATGTATACATATGTAAGTATGTGCACACAGATATTAATTTAAAAAAACAAAAATATTTTTAAGCTGTTGGTTATGTCGGGTCCATTGATGTTATGTAATGGAATCAGGCAACGGTTTAAACTTGACACCACTACACCGAACCCTTTTAATGTGACTTCTCGCGAGAAGTGAGCACAGCAGAACATATGTGCGTTCTTGTGTGCTCTTTGTTTGAGGATCCCCTGTGTGTCCTTTGACACACGTGTTTTTTTTGTTAATTTTTTAATTTTTTATTTTTTTTGTTTTGGTTTTTCTTTTCAAGTTTTATTTTTTTTTTTTGGATTTTACTTTGTCTTGTTATATGTTCCCGGTATTCCACAGAACCATTTTCGTTCCGGGTATTTCACAGAACTACTTCTTACTTTTCTTACCTCAAAGACATTACAGGCTGTTTCCTCTTTGCAAATTCTATATATTTCAATTCATATATATATCATACTCAAATATGCCCCTCTCTGCGCCAAATAGATCTCTATCTGACACAAAGGACTAGCGCTTTGAACGTTTTAATGCACTGTTTTTTTCAAACATTTTATTTTCCAGCCATGCTTTTTTCTTTATAAACGACTTCAATACATCTTTATTAATTCTTTTTCTCAAATTACTGTATTCAACAATATGCAAAATATTTTACACATCTACAACATTTTCGGCCTTTCCCTGTGTCGATCTTATCTCATTTAGGTGCTTATAGAGACCCCTGACTCATCTCCTAAAACGATATCTTGTGTATTTACAACCACTACACTCACTTAGTGGATTCGTATGTAAACCACCCCATCTGAATTAGATCCTTAGAGTCCCCTGTCCCTCTCTACACCAAATAGATCTTTATCTGACACTAAAGGCTAACTCTTTGAATCACCTTCTCGTCTCTTGGGACAACAACGATACAACAGAATAAACCAAAACGATTTTCGAGACATTTCCATTCGATTTCACTAGTTAACGCCAGTATAATAACCAAAGAACTCACATCTACACGCTAATACGTTTATATCTTTCATTCGCTGATTCGACGTGCCCTACATAGAAATATTCGAATACTTTTAGTCTTTGCCATATTACTATTCTCGGGCATGGGGCCGTAATATCTCCCGGACTTTACGGCACAACTCACATCGCAAGTCAGAGTAATATGACATTGAAGACTTTGAACTCGTATATTTCAATGCGTTGCGTGCTAGGTAATAGATGACCATAAAATAGTCACCGTCATACCTATTGCTATACAGTTTGCCAGAGTTGAACTTTATTCAATCCGGACAGACTGTATACATGGATTTTAGTCGCCTCTTACGACAGGCATGCCTTACCGCGGGCAAATTCTTGCTCCCCTTACCCGCAGGGGGTTCATAACATATACTATGTATATTGTTTATAATAGATATAACATATGAGTGTCTACGTAAATTTGATTTTCAACTTACAGATTTATCTTTCATTCCACGCCATAATTCGCCACCACGTTTAGCGATATCTGTGACTTTGCTGCCGGGATTGTCTTTCTTGATTTGCTCACGAGTCTCATTGAGCCACAGCATGTAAGCGGATAGAGGACGCTTTGGACGTTCACCGGCCATATTTGATATTCTGTATGGATTGTTTTAAATTGAAACTTTCAAGTTAATTGGATTAGCCCAGCTAATATATTTGACGATTTCCAACTGAAAGTAAAGAAGAATAATTGTATACAATTAAAAGTTTGTACCAAGAAGTTTATTTGTAAGTACATATGTATATTGTGAGTATTAACTATTTCTATGTGTAAAAAATAATATACATGTATGCAATTATATCTTTTACAAATGGATATACATATATCTGATAAATATGTACATATATGCACATAAATACGCCTGTCCAAGTATGTAGCTTATTTGTATGTTAATACAAACAATACATACATGCAATTGCTTGTACATTGATGTACCTACATATATATGTATATGTATATGGTCATTGAACTGTTTAACTGCAATAAATCGCTGTACATAAGACCCCGGATTTTGTAATTAAGTCACTACAAAATTTTAACAATCTTTTTTTTTAAATAAATTCCATAACTCTATTATTTTTAATTTACCTCATTATATTTTGTTTTTCTTCAATCCCATTTCAATAACTTTAATTTATTTGTTCTTTCATTATTTAAATTTTTTTATTCATATTTTTCTATTTTTAATTTCTTTTTATTATTTTTTTATTTATTTTTATTTTTATCCTTATTATTTTTTTATTTATTTTTATTTTTATCCATATTATTTTTTTATTTATTTTTATTTTTATCCTTATTTTATTTTTATCCTTATTTTATTTTTACTTATATTTTTATTCCTATTTTATTTTTATTCATATTTTATTTTTATTCCTATTTTATTTTTATTCTTATTTTATTTTTATTTATATTTTTATTCCTATTCTATTTTTATTTTTATTTTTATTTTATATTATTTTATATTATTTTATATTATTTTATATTGTTTTATATTATTTTATTTTATTTTATTTTAATTTTATTTTATTTTCATTTTATTTTTATTCTTATTTTATTTTTATTCTTATTTTGTTTTATTTTTATTCTTATTCTTATTTTGTTTTATTTTTATTTTTATTTTTATTTTTATTTTTATTTTTACTTTATTTCTATTCTTATTTTATTTTATATTTATTTTATTTTTATTATTATTTTATTTTATTTTAATTTTATTTTTGTTCTTATTTTATTTTTATTCTTGTTTTATTTTATTTTTATTTTATTTTTATTCTTATTTTGTTTTATTTGTGTTTTTATTTTTATCCTTATATTATTTTTATTCTTATATTATTTTTATTCTTATATTATTTTTATTTTTTTTATTTTTTTTATTTTTATTATTATTTTTTTTATTTTTCATTATATTTATTTTTGTTATTATTTTTATTTTTATTATTATTTTTATTATTATTTTTATTATTATTTTTATTATNTTTATTTTTATTTTTATATTTATATTTATATTTATATTTATATTTATATCTATATCTATATTTATATTTATATTTATATTTATATTTATATTTATATTTTTATTGTTATTTTTATTGTTATTGTTATTTTAATTTTAATTGTATTTTTATTCTTTTTTTATTCTTATTTTACTTTTATTCCTATTTTATGTGTATTTTTTTCTTACTCTTTTCCCCTTTTTATTTATTTTTTGCTCTTCTTTTATTAGAAAAATTGGAAAATGGATGAATACAACCATTTGCTAAAAAAAAAAAAAATATTGAAAAACTACGTACATACATACTTATGTATGTACATATTGTACATACATTCGTATTCATTCGTATGCCACCTCATTACAAACAGTGTTTCCCAAACATTTTCAAGTCATTGATTTTTACTTATGTATTATATGTACATACATACATACATACATACATACATACATACATACATACATATGTACACGTATGTAAGCAAGAAATAAATTGTATGAAGAATTATGCATAATTATGTAAGTATATATAGGTTTTTAAAACCAAAATTAGCGTGATTTTGTTTTCAAAAATGTTTATGGCTGAAAATGGCCAGTTATCAAGCCTATTATTCTCATTTTTCGTAATCTAGCTTATACATTTTTATATCTATACAGTATATATATACATAAATAACTATATCAATGTATATACATATGTATGTATATAACCCAAACGTCAATTCACGAACACAAACAAATGACAGCAGCAACAAATTATCACGAACACCAACAATAAGTTGTCAAATATAGCACAGAGAAAAAAACATAAATACATACATACATATTATATATAGATATGTATATACATATGTATGTTTATATAGTGGTAAAAGCTTATGAAATAAAGATAACGTCAGCGCCAAGCCTCAACGCACGCGTCAACTTAATTTTAGGGTCGGCAGCGCTGCTACTACATTTTGCTGCACTGTCGGCGTCAACTTCATTACTAACACAGCGTGGAATATTATATTGTAATAAAAATACACTGCTGGGTCGACGTCAGTCAGTCAACGTGGATATCGAAAAACGCGTCATGGATGTCGCCGTTTCCGTCTCCGTCTCCGTCGCCGTCGCTGCCGTAGCTACTGTTGTCGTTGTGTCACTCATACGCCTGCGTGTACTGGAGTGGGTAAAACCAGACGTGAGCAAGCAAACAATCAACATGCAAGCAGTGCAAAATGGCTGAACAACCAGAGCAATCGCAGCCGCTCTCTGCCCGAATGCCTGTTGGTATTGTGGTGTGATGTGTATGATTATGGCTTTGCTGTTGTGTTGGCGTTTTGGAGATTTTGAGCTTGTGCGCAATAACAGCATTTTGGGGTAGATACTTTTGCAGGGATTTGCGCAGTGGACAGTTGCTTGTTGATTGTGTTAGCTGTGCGTCTGTGTGTGTGGGCATTAGTGTGCTAAATACACGCATATATGGAAATACATATGTATGAATGAATGTATGAATTAATATGTAGGTATCTCAGTGATGCTCAGCTATACACATATGCAAATATTCAAATGTATGTATATATGTATATACATATATATGTACGTTTGTATGTGTTTTTTCTTTCTTAAGCATATGTATATAAATACATATACACATGTAAGCAGTTTTCAGGAACAACGGGCAACTATTAGTAAAATTGTTGTTGTTCTAGTTATTGTAGCTATAGTTAATATTTTTAGTACACACGCATACAAACACACACACACTCATCTACATGTCTACATACATACATATACAACAAATAAATCCGTTAATTATTGTACTTTGCTTTGTATGGCCCTTTGCAGAAGGGCACAAGTACACATATGTATATATATATATATATGTATATATATATATATATATATGTATATATATATATATATATATGTATATATATATGATGCATATGTATGTATATATTGACAAGTGGGTGGTAAACAGCACGTTGCCTGCATTTATTGCTACTTTTTCATCAAAAAGTTTTCGTTTATTACATGTATAGACAAAAAGGCACATACAATATGTACATATATACATAGATGAGGCATTTGTTTGGTAAAATGTTTGACGCGTTTGTGTCTGTGCGCGCATAATTAATGCTTTTTCTGCTTAACTGAGCTTTTTCGCTGGCCCAGGTACAGTTATGCGCAATAGAGCAGTCAAAAAGTGTTGCTTACATACATACAAATGTACTTTGTTAGCGCTACAACAGCGTACAAGCAAATAACGGTGTTGCAACGAATAGATTGTACTAAAATTTGAGTGTGTACATATGTATGTATGTATGTACGTATGTGGCCTGCGTGTTAAACAGCGCATGCTCACCCGAACATTAGACTATTAATTTTCCAATTTGTAAGGAACTATGCACCGACATATGTATATGTATACAATAAATAATGGAAATGTTACTCATACGCAATGGCGCACTGCACAAGGCAAGTGTAGGGCGAAGAAAGAAAAACAAGAAAAGGTGAAAATACTATTTGAGCGTGAGTTTAATAATATGAAAATACTCTTTCTAAATGTACATAAGTACATACAAACGTACATATATACACGCTGCAGTATTAAACTCAACTCGAGCTGAATTGAAATGGAATTGCATGCGAAAAGTTGGCAAAATTGGCATATTTTTGCGCTGCAGCTCTCGGCAGTATTTTATAACTTTTATGTTAATACATAGACATTACGGTGGTCAAGCTATTCACAGGCTATCAAAGCAAACAGTTGCTGTTGAGTTATAAAACTCTGCACATCAACACATCAAATGCCAACAAACAACTGTATATTGTACATTTCTATGTAATTATGTTTGTACATTTAAGTATAAAAAACAGACAAAGTCATATGTTTGTATGTGTTGTATGGAAATAACACAAGGATGCCAAAGGGAAAGCAGTCGACGTATGCTTCGGGTGCGTTGTTTTTTTTGTTTGTTTGTTTCTTTTAGCAAAATGAGGAAGCAAACTTCAAATATAACGGTAATAAGGGCGTAATTTGCAACACTTATTTTGGAGTGAGATACTGTTTGCAATTGCTTTGAATTATTATTTTTATTTATTTTTTTGATGTATGGTTAAGTTGAAAAATTTTAAAAGAGAGTCAAAATAAATACTTTCATGGAGTTGCCTTCAAAGACGAGTCAATTCGAGTTCAAGAGAAAAATAAAAAATTCATATAATTTTTTTTCTTCTTTTTACTGCATAGCTGGTTAATAGACGAGCAATATTGAGTTCTTTATAGATAATTTGAAGATAGTTTAGCTCCACAACTATGAATACATATGTTTGAAATTATTTAACTAGTGTGATTCGTTGTCAAGCTTATTGGCGTTGTTGTAATATCACAGACTAGCGAAAGTTTGGTTACCATATTTTTCTTTAGGTTTTTTTTTTTAATTCTTGGCTTCAAACACTATTTTAATTAAAAAAATTAATAATGATTGTAATCGTTAAACAAACATATGTTTGCATGTATTATACTGATAAATTTCAGCAGAAAACTGTACAAGTGCATATATTCATAAATGTGTTTATGTGTACATATATACGTATGTATATATATTTTTTCGTTTACGACTAAAATTATATTTCACTTCTCAGCATTGGCAACCCTGTGCTCCGCATTTATGGTGAAATCATTTATACAGATGTTTATATACATACATACACACATGTTATATGCATTTACATATGTATTTTGTATGTTTTTGTCAATAACTGTATGCCTATAAATTTAGTTATCATTTTCATAATATTTAATTCCTAAGCAAAAAAAAAACTGTGATAACCGCATATATGAGTGTACGTAAGTAAATTGAAAATAATAAATATATAACATAACCTCAAAAAAAAAAAAACTCTACAAAATATCCACTCTCCACTTACAGAAAAGGAAAAAAAAACTATACAAAATTAACTATAAATTTCTCTCTCTCTCTCGGTCGCTCTCTCAAAAAAAAAAAATTGAAAAGCCCGTGCACATATGTATGTACATATAGCGGGTGCTATATAAAATAATCAGTCAACGAGCGATAATGGTTCACATACTACACGATCGTTGAACAAACAAATACACGTTAGCGGCGAGTAAAAGTCGAAAATAACCACAAAAGCGATAAATTGAAAATATATAATTTGCACACATTAACGAGATACCGGGTAGTACAAACACTTTGTGCCTTAGCGCTGCTGTAGACGTGTTGGTGTGGTGAATAGCAATGGCGCGCAAAAGTGTCGTACGTACATATGCATAAAAAACATATATGTATACATATATCCACCGTGCACACCCCCTTTTAACGCACAATTTAAAATGAAAAAAAAGAATATATACACATGTATGTATGTATGTATATTGTGCACATGTATATAGGTATATATATACAATATACATATGTACATACGATAGACGTGATCTTCGTTGATATTTGTGTAAACAACAACGAGATCGCACGGAAGAGGGAAAGGTGATTTACATAAATGAAAATAATAATTAATTGAAGAGAGCGGCGCGTATGTGACACGTAGTACACTCATGTATACAAAACGAATATTTGAATATGAATTGATATCTAAAAAAAAATATTTTTTTTTCTAATTTAGTTGCTAAATCGTTGGCTCGTGTGCCATTAAACGGCGAGTGGTCTTTTATTGATTTACAAAATTTGTAAATCAAGAAAAAATATGACAGAGAGAAAAAGAAAATTTTATTTTATTGGTAGGTAGAACAATTTCAAGTGTACCTCAAACATTTTTCATTTTAGTAGGAAACCACTTAATATTGTTTATTATATTTTTAACAAAAATCTTTGCCGATAAGATAAAACAACAAAGATAAGACTAGGTGTACCGCATAGAGGTTAGTTCGGGCAGTACTTTGAAGTTCTAATGACGTGTTAAATAATATTTTTTAACAAAATGGATCATAAAAAATATTTACGATATAATAAATTTTATAGTAAAAACATTCTTCAATTCGGGACATGATCCACGCGATGTTTTTAATGCGAAACAAAGAATAGAAGCACTCAAATGAAAATAAGTTTCCTTAAAATCTTCAAAAACTACAACACGTTGCACTTGACTATGTTTATGCATTATATGGGGGCACTACTAAATATACCCATGTACATACATATGTATTAATGTATATATGTACATGTATAAACATTTTATTGTAGGTACCAACTACCAGATTGACTCATGGTAGCGGAAGGTATGCAAGATCTTCGTGTGCACGACAAAAATATTCGGTACACAAACACAACAATAAGTATGTGTATATCAATGGTAAACAATTTTTGGCGCCATTTCTACAAAACAGTGAAGAATGTGCATGCACAAGCACATGTTTTCGAGTGAAGTGTGATATTTAGTTTTGCCTAGTAGTGTCTTAATATACATAAATGTATGCATGCATGTACATGTACTAATTATCCGGTCTAGAAATTATTGAAAAAAAACGCAATATCTAATCCTACTATATTTATGTGTATGTTTCAATGATTTTGTTTCAGTTTTTTTTATATAATTAAATTATTTTTTTCCATTTATTTATTTATTTTTTTATTTTATTTTCAATTGATCTGCGCAATTATTATTATTATTGAATATCACAAGCTATCTGAGTGCAGTTTAAATCGTGTCGATTTGATTTCAAGTCGATTTCAATTATTTTAATGAAATATTTTTTAAAGCCTAATTTAATTTTAATTCCTCTTCAATTTAATTTAATATTCAATAATTTATTCAATTTATTAGTTTTTCATTATAATTTATTAATTTCTTTATTTGGCTTTATTCGGTTTTATTTTGTTTTATTTTGTTCTGTTTAGTTTTATTGAGTTTTATTTTGCTTTATTGGGTTTTATTTGCTTTAATTTCATTTATATGGTTTAGTTCATTTTATTTCATCTGTTTTTTTTTCCTTTTTTTATTATTTTTAATTTATTTCATTTGTTTAATTTTTATATCTAATCCTACTATATTTTAATTTAATTTTATATACTTCTGTTTTTTTTATTTTGTTTTTATTTTATTTTAAATAATTAAATTTATATTATAATAATTTAATTTATGTAATATTTATTTATTTTATGTTATATTAATTTATTTTGTATTAATTTATGTAATATTTATTTATTTTATGTTATATTAATTTATTTTGTATTAATTTATTTTATATTAATTTAATACATATTAATTTAATTTAAATTATATTAATTTATTTTGTAAAAATATATTTTACTTAAATTTATTTTACTTTGTTTTATATTAATTTATTTTAATTTGATTTAATTATAATTTTATTTTATTTCAATTAATTTATATATTTTTTTAATTCCTTTTATATTTATATTTTTAAAGTTTATTTAATTTATTTAATTTAAATATTTTTAATTAATTTTATTTAATTTCAGTTTATTTAAATTAAATTTTTTTTAATTTATTTAATTTTTATTTATTTAACATTAATTTATATAACTTTAATTAATTTCATTTTAATTTCTTTTATTTGAATTGATTTTATTTAAATTTAAGTTAATTTAATTAAATTTTTTTTCATTTACTTTATTTTATTTTCAATAACTTTATTTTATTTTCATTTGTTTATTTTATTTTCATTCATTTTATTTTATTTTCATTCATTTTATTTTATTTTATTTTCATTTATTTTATTTTATTTTCATTTAATTTATTTTATTTTCATTTAATTTATTTTATTTTCATTTAATTTATTTTATTTTCATTTAATTTATTTTATTTTTTTATTTAATTTATGTAATTTTATTTAAAATTTTTTACTGAAATTGTCTTTTAGTGCAATTAATTCAATATATTTTGTTTGCTACTATTTATAATAATATTTTTCTTATTAACATATTTATTTTTGTAGTTTTTTATGTATTGAAAAAAGTCGGTACCGCCGTTTTGAAAATTGATAAATAAATTTGCAATATGCAATATGCGTTTAAAATCTCGTGATCAGCTTAATTGTATTTTTTTTTTTCAATATGCACATAAAATCCAAATCTGTCGATTTCCAAACACAAATTTACTTATCGACGATATGTGCATGTTGTTGTTGCTGGTATTAGCGTCATGCCATCAGCACAAAAAGTGATTGGAATCTGTGCCGTTGCAATTGTAAGTGATACTTTCGTTTCCAACGCACTGTTGTTGCAACAGATACAATATAATAAATGCTGTTTTTGCATAAAAATTTGACAGAATAATGTTTATAGGTACATACATACATATGTAATATGTATCTATAAGTTTATACACTTGGTGAAAAATATTTAATTTGAATATGTATACACACATATATTTTTAAACAGATTTAATTGTAATTTAACTCTAAATGAGTTTGTTTATGAATGAGGTGTTTTAATTTATAAAAAAAATCTCAATACTCGTACGTACTCGAATTTCTCGGAATTTTATATAAGAATGATTGAATGAATTTCTCATTATTTCTTTGCTCTACAGAAATAGTAAGCTGCAGGCAAAATTATTTGTGAACTCACATCTACAGTAAAGATTAAGAGCTGAAATATTGTTAAGAAAAACTAAAAAGAAATATACGCAAAATTTTTATTGAAATCTTCCTCAAACCAGCACTACAACACTTGTTAGCTTTTTTTTTTCAAATAAGTAACTGCATGAGCATAAATTAATGTTGAAAATCCTCATCCAACAAGCGCTTTTAGAGCAGGTATAAAATGAGAATATTTTACAGCTTCTTCAACTGCAACCGGATGTACAGTAAAGTCGCACATTAGAAGCATTACATTTTCAAATTATACTATTTTTTACTCATTTATTCATGTACTTTTTGCAAGTATTTCTTAAGTTTATATTTTTTAAATTATCTACAAGAATGTGCACTAAAGATGAGTTATTCACCAAATTAATAAAAAAAAATATTAACTACGACCAGTCTTTACTGTAATTGCATTCAAATATGTTACATTTAGCACAACCGATACAGTCAGTACAGTTCATTTCCATTACTACATATGAACGAAGATACATAGTATATATCATTGGCGCACAGTGTAACAAATAACTTTAATTACACTTAAATTTACCATACCGCACTTTATAGTTAAATTAAAAAAAATTTATTTACAATAAACATATTTCTCATCAACAAATAGCAATAGCACAATATATCCTGTAAAAATATGGGCACAAATCGACAAAACTTAAAAAAAAAATATTGCAGAAATTTTTTTAAATTAAAACACTCACTTGAAGCACTGCGTGTATTCGCCTAGCGTTGAGATCAAAACTACAAAATGTACTGTGCGCCCACGGTGGCTTAGGAGACTTTTGCACTGCCTTGTACAGGCGATATGAAATCGAAGCAGCAGCAACAGCAGCAGCAGATGACGAACAAGAGGAAGAACAAGCAGCAGCAGCGGCAGTAATACAGCAGTGGTATAAAATACACTTGAACGAACTGAGTGTATGCAGGCCACCACAGTGGTTGATTTGTTCGTTCGTTGGTTGACTGCCTGTGTGGATTGCTGGCTGGTTGGCTTGTGTAAGTTGCTACTTCGACGCTATTATCGCTTTATGGCGCTCTGTATGGTTGTATAGCGGGTTTGCTTGCTTGCTTGTTAGCTGAGTTTTCGAGTAGTCACATATATGTGAGTACAAATGTATGTATGTATAACGAAGCAGTAACGCAGTATGAAATACAAAATACTTTGCTTTGCTTTGGCTTTGGCTTTGGTTGGCCTGTATGAATATACCAGAAAGAAAATTTCATACACTGCTGCTACTGCGGCTCTTGCTACTCTGATATAGCTGCTGCCCAGCTTGCTTCCCTGTTGCCTTTGCCGTTGACGTTGTCGACATTATAAACGACGATTCTTTTTCATAGGTACATACAACTGTGTTGTTGTTGTACCAAACGAACGATGAAAAGAAGAACAAGCAGCTATAGCAAGCAATACACTGCTGAGTTGAGTCAAAAAGCAACCACTACTATATGCGAGCCAAGAGATACTCGCCTGTATAGGCAGCAAAAATACAGCACACAATGCTCTATAGGTAGGCGCATACAGACAGATATGTAGGTAAGTATGTAAATACATATGTATGAACATATACGTGACAATAAGCGTTCATAGAGCTAAAGTGGAGACATGCAGCATAAAATATACATATTTATATGTAGGAAAAATGTCAGCAGGGAGAAGAAGTATTAGTAATAGTAGCAGCTGCAACAACAACGCCGTATACAGACAAACCGTTGAAATACAAACATACATTTATACATATGAACATATACACAGCTACGTGTATTTGCCTTTAGCTGCTTTTAATATGGCTGACGCAGGTACAAACATACATACATACATATATTCGAGAGATCTATCGAATCAACGAGCCGGCGAACAAACGAACAGCATAACGAATTGGACAAACAAATAACCTACCTACTCGTACATTTGTATTTGCTAACTGATTTCGATACGTTTCAACTCAACTCACAGTAAGTATGTATGTAGGTATAGGTGAACTTAACCGATTTGGCGCATTGACGGCTGGTTCGAACTGCTGACGCAATGCCCAAACTGACGAATCGACAATATGACTGCTTTGACTGGCTGGTTGGCTGTACTACTCAACGCCTTGCTTAACGACTGTTGTAGATACAGGCACTGCCAACAGTAAAACGACAGCAAGAGAAGGCGACTGACAGGCAGGAGTGCGGGTGGAAAGTGTAGCAAATGTTTGAGGGGTCTTTGAATTTTTCAGCGTGGTACTGGTTTGCCAAGGTGGGGTAAAGAGAAGCACGAGTTAACGTACAAATATCTGAGACGGTTAATAGGCTGGCGATATTAAAAGCGACAAAAATAAAAATAACAACAAATTGAATAACAAAAGCGAATAGCACCGAAATAAAAACAAATTTTACGCATACATTTGTCATACATACATGTCCATATGTATGCTTCGAAGCAGTCGCCACAGTACAGTACTGTAGTCTCAGCTATGTGCTGGCTGAAACCATTGCTGTAATAACAAAAACCACAGGCATATGAACGACTTGATATTTTGCACGAACGACTCACCTACATGCAAACATACATATGGATATGTATGCATGTATGTATATTTGTGCATATAAACGCTCGTTTATACAAATCTCTACGTACAAACAGAACGATTAAACGAAGCGTTCGTCAAACGCCCATCTACCCGCACACTTCCAAAGTCACCAACCACACAGTACAAATAGCGCTCTCGAGTTAAAAACTCAACAGCCGGCTGCCGCCGAGCCATTATACGAACGTAGGTACAAATAAACTGCTCATACATGTGCGTATGTATACCTTTAGATTTGTTCAAGTACGATACGAATGGGTGGTGTTGCCTCTGCATGAGAAACATATTTTGGGATTCGTTGCTCTGACAAAGCGACGTGTTAGTAGTTAGCTCATGGCGTTTTCTCACACTGGTGGCCAACATATTGAGCTATTGTATTTCTATGGAAATTCAGTTCTGCACTGTGTGTCATTCGAATGAATTGCTTTGTATGATCATTATGCTGGTGGTCCAATATCCTGACACGGTACTGTAAAATCGTTTGTTGTGTTTCTGATATTTTAGGCAACCAAGTAAACAACGAGACAGTCGTCAACCAGAATGGCATGTAGCCAGTTAGTCAGCCACAGCGGGAATACTCTTGACTCTTGTCATGCGTGCATATCCATATGTATGTACCTATATTATGTACAAATGGTATGTGTGGTGCTCTGTTGAAAGCATGCACATGAGAATGTTTATTAGTTGCCGGTATCGGCTTCGGTACCGGTAGGTCGAGGCGCACATGCTAATGATTTGATGCCGGTTAAGCGCGCGATTTTTTTAGCAAACCATTGGATTGACTGACAAATATGTCTAGTCTAGCTATAGTGTTGTGCCTCGTAAGGTGTGCATGTATGTACAGATGTACGTTCGTAGTTAAAGTGTCGTGAGACATTAAGTGCTTCTCCAGTGGGTAGAGCGTGTTGTTTTGTTCGACGATAGTGATACGACTTGTGGCATGTTTTTAAATAGCCCATGGATTTTTGTTTACCAACATGACGAAAAAATAAAATGAACAATTATTATGGACGATTGAATGGAAATCTGCAAGGGTTAAAAACTTAGAACTGCATTTCGATATACAGGTGTTTTTTTTTATTTCGTGGAGACGAATTTAATTACTTTGATTTATGAACCCGATTTATTCAATTTGGCGATAATAGTTGCAAGTGTTAGGTTAGAAACTACAATTTGACAACTCAGTTGATTTAAGGCCCATTCTATAAGAATGTATTTATGACGAGTAGTACGTCAAGACTTTCGTAACATATAGCGGCATTTCGAAACAAAGACAAGACCCTACGCCTTCTGTGCCCAAAAATCTACGAGTTCATATTCCTACTTCTTTAATTTGCATGAGGAAAAATTACATCATTAGACAAAGGAAATTGTTGTAGATTACATTGTTCGTAATATAAAAATTAAATCCATACTCAACGCTTATCTAAGTGAAATAAAAGTAATTAATGCAATTAAAAGGCACATAAGTAATAAAATTTAACAAATTCGTATAAATTTCCTAATAACATAGAAGCGAATCTGCATGTCACGGTCTATTCTATTGAATGTGGGTCAAGGTGAAATATTAGCCTCAATTAACACCGAGTCCCCACATGTGGTCATAGCGGCATTGCGTACACAAAATAGGCCAAAAGCGTCAAATTCAAATACAACATTAAAATATGTATGTACAAACATGAAAACCAGAACATATATACGTAGATTAAAAACGAAAACGATGCCATTCGAAACATCATATGCACAAATATGCATGGTTATACATACTCCACATAAATCCTTTACTGCCCTTTGACTGGCCGACAACTGAAAGATGCACATCTCAACTGACTTGCCTTGTTGTATTAGCAGTTAGTGGAATTAACAATAGAGTGCGTGCTGTCATGTATTAACTCCTACACACTAAAATATACATTTCTGCGATACATACACACATACATACATACAACCCAGAATCCCCGTGGTATGGTTCAGACGTCTAAAATTTGCGCGCGCAAAGTGAACCTACAAAGCAATTCGAATGATGATGCCTTTTGCCTTAAATACAACCTTTGCTGCATTACAGTGGCGTCTATATTATTATGAAATGTCGTAGTATAGATTTTGTCACGTCTGTATACGAAATCGTATACGCATGTGGTGCTAGTTGTTAGACATGACTGTACGACCGTATAATGGCGAGAGCTCTTATTCCTCGGCCATTGTTGCCTTTGCTGCTACTGTCGCTGCTACTCAGTATATGTATATACATACATAGTTTTGTTTTCAACGACTCAAATTTATAAGAGTATGTACACATGTATGTAGTGTGAGACATACATGTAGGTATATAATTGTGTGATTAACCCGACAGCACTGTATTAGTGCGTTTGCATAAAACCACAAAAGTAGCAACAGCAACAAAATTACGATGTAAGGTGAACTACGTTCCAAGTGGAACCGAACGTTACACACTCCGGTATTTTTTATGGCGGCCACGGGTGGTACACAGTGTGTGCTAACATGCGGAGGGTCATGGGTTCGAATACTGATATCAACTAACTTCTAAAATTATAGAAATTTTTCTAATTGTGGTTGTTTCACGACACGGAACCTGCGTGTGCGCTTCTGACATGAAGCGTGAAAAGCTCTCCGGAGCTAAGCACGGAGGCGACTAAACTTAATCGAAAATTTTAGCTTCTACGAATGTGACTCTCTTCCTTCAACCTGTCGTCATTTAGTTCCCGTCTTGTATTGCTTATAGTTCACTTGCCAATAAACGTAACTGCAATGTGCCGTAAACGCAGACGTTAAATAAAGTTTTTACCCGTACTTTGCTGGTCTGCTTTATCGGCTATTGAACCTATTGTACAGTGGTGAATTTTTATTTGTAAGATGCTCTCATAAAGCAGATAGAAGCGGACTTTTACATCTATAGGTTCCCTCATAATCATGCAGGTAGGTCTGAAAGTGCACCCCATACTCGGAAACTGGACTGAAAGGGTATTATCGTTCAAATGCCATGAACGCTGTAGAAACTCATAAAAATTTCGAGTTTGTTGTTTCTCTTTTGCAATGTCAAAATTTGTCAATAAAACTAAAATTTACAGTAAATAAATCCTTTATGAATATATTTACAAATGCATGTATATACATATAATAGTATTAATATATGTATATGTTTATATATATGTACATATATATTTCTCCTAAAAATTTTAATATTTGTGAAAATGGCTTAAAACAAAGGCTAGTCCAGTTTTTGGAACCTAATCAATTGTGGCATTTCTTATTATTATGATTATGAAATAATCATGCTACTCGCCACGCAACTCCATGCACTAACATAAGAATACTATTGCATATATACATACACATTTATATATATATAAATATATTTATATATATATAAATATATTTATATATATATATATGTAGATACATCAATTCATACCTCTTAACCAGAACGCAAACCTCTTTAGCCCCCCTCGTTCTTCGCCCTCTTTGATAGGCAGACGTTAACGTAGTCGCTGACGTTGACGCTGCCAGTGTGAACAATCATCGCCTCACAT